GCTTTATGTAAATGAAGACAATATTTTTGTCATATATGAGGCCAACTAAAAGCCAATGGAACAAGGAAATTTAAGGAAATACTCTACACGCATAAATTGCAGATAGGCCATATCTATTTCATTCTCCAAAGGCTTCCTGGAACAACCAGGTTTCAATGGCCTTCTTAAATTCCAGAGGGTTAGAGCTGTTCTAATCCCATGGAGAATGTTGTTCCACAGGAGGGGATCAGAATAGGGATCCAGAGAGATCCCTTACTCTCTAGGCTTACTGAGCTGGCAGATTCCACAGATAAGCAGGTCGTAATCCATGCAGGGCTTTAAGTGTAACAAATGCAGTTAAGTGTAACTGCATTTGAACCAGCTATATTTTCTGGGTGGTCTTCAAGGGCAATTCCATGTAAACTATTATGCAGTGATCCAAGAAATAAATGATCAAGGCATCAGTGACCATCCACAGAGTCTCTTGGTCCAAGAATGGCCATAATTGGCTTAGAAGACACAGAAGCCACCTACACTTTGTGGCTTACAAGACACAGAAGCCACCTACACTTTGAGCAAGATCTGTGAGTCCAAGAGGACCTCCAGCTTATGAATGAGTTCAGAACCAACAGCATCTATGAACAACAGTAGAATACTCAGATGGTCTCCAAACCCAAAGCCACTCCATCTTGCTGGAATTGAACCTAGATCTGTTCTACACTATCCAGACCCTAGAAACTTCCAGTGGCTGGGACACATCTCCAGTTTAGACCATGAGGGTCAAGATTTATACCTGACCATCATTGGCATCCTAATGATGCCTGATCCTGTGTCAGTGGATGGTTCTCCCTCAATGCCTTGAAAAATAGAAGAGAGTTAAGCTCTTCAGTATCCCACAAAACAGGGTTCTCCTTAAGGCCATAGGACTCAACCTCTTCCTTCCCACTACCAACTGGAACTGGTCACAGAATAAGGAGAAGGACCTCCCAATAATGGTCCAGAGACATACTGTGATCAATGGTATAAAAGGCAGTTAAGATCAAGGACAACCAGGAGGCTCACATTACCACTAATCTAGTCCTGCCACAGGTCATCAACAAGATTAATCACTGTGGTCTCAGTACCATATCCTGGCTTAAAACCAACTAAAAAGTTGAGATAATCTGTTTCCTTCAGGATCTTCTGCAATTGTAGCCACACCGTCTCTCAGAAACTCTCACTGTGAGGGAAAGATTGGAGACTGCTCAATATTTCTCCATTCTTCCCTAAACGATCCAGGTTATTTTAAAGATGGCCACCAGCTGACAATCTTATAATGCATTAAGAGTGAGAAAATATTGAAGTTTCACCGCTCAAGACTCTTACCCATATTCAGTCAATCTCCTTTGTCTTCTGCTAGCATCACTCTAGCTTGTACTATTTCATCTTTCAGAGCTCCTCAGTATTTCAAGATGCTTCTCTGAGTTGATAAGCCAGGACACTCATAGCCACCCTCATGTTCCAGAAAATGATCAAGGACATGGCAGAGTGCCTGACCAAATCTTAGTAAATTCCTGAAATACCCTCTGGAAATACTCCATTCTTGAGGTAAAACTGAACTTTGGTTCTGCTTGTAACATACTGGGCAAACTGTGCCATTATTGATGAATATCATGTTCTTACCATTAGCAAACAATTTGCATATAGCACATGTTCAATTAAGACTTGTAATTATTAGTCTCCTCTATTTTTATCTTTATCTTAGTACCTTTATGTTATGTAATAAAGTTATGTGAAAATCTTGATTGATTAAAGGCATGATTGGGAGTAGATGTCAGTATTTATGTGTTCGACTGTTTATGATAATGCCATATGAAAGATCACAACTTGGAATGCAAGAAGAGGAAAAGTAAAGATGATAAAAAGAAAGGTATGTCTGTGAAACTAACAGAAAGGATTAATAGAACTGAGTGAAGGTGGTCTAATATTGTTGAATAGAATTAATGCATAGATACAGGGAAATTAAGGTATAGGTTTAATTATGCATGAAAGGTCTAAAACGTATGGCTTGGCATGAGCTAGTTTATTGTGGATATTAGGAAAATAGGACTTTACAAGATGGTGATAGTTACATGTAGCACTTTAGTAGCTACATGGTGATAAAAGAGAATCAGGAAAAAGTTTTGGGAGAAAATAGCAATGTTTTCCATTAAAGAGATTGAGGGAAATATATTCTATTAGGAGACATGGATAGATGGATAGAAAGGAAATGAGAGTACATTAAAAGCTGATATTTCATTTTGGTTTCAACATTTGTTATAACTCAACTAGAGTAATTTGAATTGAATATAAAATTAATTAATTAGTTGCTATGTCTTTTGGAGACACAAAAATGAGCATGGTGATTATTTTGTGAGAATTTACTTGGAAAAAGGACCCTTTGCTTCAAATACATGCTTTAAGTATAACTCTATCCATAAATGCATATAGCAAAAAAAAATGCATCTAAAAACCTGATTGATTTGATTATGTCTGATAAAAGGGTTCAGATAATTAGTGAATAACAAAAGTGATGAAAGGCTCAGAAGGCATGTCTGTTATTAATAATGCCAAGCCCATAACAGCTGATCACAGCTAAAAGACTAGATTCTCACAAGTCTATTAGTCAGATATTTTGAAAGGAAAAGGGGTTAGTTAGGGAATCTTGTTAGCAAGAGATGTTGGTACCTATTTGCATATTAAGGAAGGATTGGGCAGATATTTCTGCCCTGGACTATATTGTAAACTGCCATTCCCATACCGAGACTCAACATTCCATTACAGATAGTGTTAGGAATGGAACGTTGGAGAAAAAAAAGGAACATGAAGGAAAAAGAGAAATAAATTAAAGTCGAACAACTGCAGCAAGATAAAGTCTTTATATAAGAGTGTCCTATATAAAAAAGTATTTGAAGATAAATTAATCTCCCAGCATAATGTATGGAAATGGCATAAGGAAAAGCAGTGAGGGAAGCTACTTAAAACACTGAGAATTATTATGTTAGAAAGTGCCACAGAACTGCCTGGATCAGTATGTATGAAAATGATATTAGGAGAAATGCTGAAATGAAGGAGGCTATGGAGAGAAAATTCTTCAAATGACAGGAAGAAAAAGTAAGATTAAACAAGGCAGAGAAAATGCAGAGCAATTTAGGGAAAAAGGCCTTTGGGCCTAGCAGAGATTTCTTTAGCATAACAGCTTCTATATTTTAATATACTCTTTTCCTGAGGCTCTCCATAATTTGAATGTGGTGATACCTGGCAACTAAATAATTGGTTTATAATTGGCTATAATTTTTAATTGCTTTATAGCTTCTCTATCAGTTGGTCTAATTTAGATGCTCCTAATTTTTGCCTCTGTGCCTCTGACAGACTGTGATTTTCTTACATGTTTCGCTCAAACTTCATTATGTTATTTCATATCACTAGCCACTTAACAGGTCCAGCTGCCATCAACACTTCATGTACTTGTTTTACCTCTATAAATACACAGTGAATCATTTCAGCAGTGTGCTAGCACCTGCTGAAATTATCTTTCAGTGGAAAAGCAGCCATAAAGTAACTCAAATAGTGTTCTGATCTCATTTGTGTGGTAGGCAAGGAGGAACTAAGGATGATTGTCAGTATAAACTATTGAGAGAAAGTTTCTGCATGCTGTTCTGGATGTTTTTCTGGGTCCATGCTCTGTGAAACATGCCAACTTAAGGGTCAACTTTGAACACATACTGCAGTGTAATACCTTGGCAGAGATTTAGGTCAAGTAAGGGCTACCCTAAGTAATTTACAACATTTAATTTTTCAGGAACAGTTAATAATGTAAGAGAGATACTAAATAATTTCTGTAAGCCATAGCTGTTGATCAGAATCTTGCAACCTTCTGGGAGGAAATTGGTCACATAAAGGAAGAATGATTTGCTCTTGAGCAAAATGCAGTTAAATTTTGTGGCAATTAGTGTTAGAAGATCAGTTTGCCATTGTGTGTATAGTGGGACTTTATCAGCACATGTGATAAAGATTCAACCTTTACTCTGGAATATACACATGTGCAGTTTTCATAACAGGGTGATATATCTGTCCATTGTCACCCTAATAGGCAATGCATTGATCTAGGTTGGGGAGAAAAGTGTTCTATGTGGGACATTGCCAGTCCTTTCAGGTAGGCCAGGTCAGGAAATAGCCTCCAGAAGTCTGGCTGGTATAGGCTTTAGTAACAGACTCTTGAAAGTCAAAGTTTTCACTTCCCTCCCTCTTGTACTCTAGTGAATTAGGCAGAAATAAGTCTAAGCTTCTTCCTCATGACTTCTCTGTTTCCTAGGCTTAGAGCATGACCCAAGTTCATATGTTAAGTAATTTTTCTTTATACTTAATTCATGGTTACTGGCAGTCCTATACATGTTTATGCCAAAGTAAATTCAATTTACCTACAAACAGGTTATTACCAAATAACTGGGTATAGACTAAATTGATTCCTTAAGGTGAAATAGATAAATATGTTTTATACTGAATAACGAAGAGGTACTTAAATAGTAGTATATATAACCCTCATTCATGTAGATTAGATAGCAGTTAGCTTCCCTTATAAAGGGAAAAAACAACCTATTTCCCTAAACTGTCTTCAAAATGTGTTCCTTAATTATAATTATATAGAAGAAGAAAATTGCTAAACATACTAAGAGCCATCTGTATTTTGTATATTGAGAGATAACTATATCTAATTATTTGATTTAGATTTAATTATGTTTATGTGTAAAAAGTTTAAGCAAGTTAAATTTATTTTTTTATGACTGCTCTGATACTTTGGAAATGTGAACCCAGCATGCTAATCAAAGGCCAGGTACATTCAGTCCTTTAACATAATCATGACCAATACAACCCATAAAATATCTAAGCATTGTTATATAGAAAACTAATTTTTTTGTAGTTAACTAGCTTATATTCCATGTATTATTTCTTATTTTTAAATAATGTAACTCTGCTATACAAATCCTTAATTATTGCCATAAGTATAAAATTGCCTTGGATTCTGATGCTCCAGAGTATGGAGGACATAGTAGACTGGATCATACTACAGAATTCTTTTCTCAGCAGTGTCCACATAATCATCGATCTAATTCTCTTTTGGTAAGTACATTTTTTCTACCCTCATTTCTCTAATGTATATCTAATATATATTTTAGATTCTGTATTAAATGCTTGCATGTTGCCTTTGCCCTCTCCCCTTATGAAATATGGCATCTGAGTTTGCATGAAAAATTATAAAGTTAAATGTCATAAAAGGGTTTATGTGACATAAAGAATGTGGTAGCTAGAGAATAATATTTTCAATTTCTCAATATTTTCAATTTTATATAACAATTCTAATATTCCAAATATGCATATAATAAATCTTAAAAAATCATTTCTGTGTACATTTTGTTTTTCTGATTTTTTATGTTTTTTTAATGTTCAATATCCCAATAATTTGCATGTTTATTTGATTTCTTTGCATGTAAATACCCTAAGTTTTTCATTGTTAATATTTAAGACAGAGCTAGGATCGTCTATTCAAACTTAGGCGATATGAGAATAATTGAACTATTAGAAGTATTTAAGTTAGTAATGCAAACAAAAGAGCTTTCTTTACTTTTCCTTTTTAAGATTTAATTTAAAAACAAAATCATTTCAAGAAAATCAAACAATACAGGGTTAACTTGCATTTGATGCTCTGTTTCAATGTTTTTTTTAAGTTTTATATGTGAGGATTCTGATATACTTTATTCAGTGCAAAATTGTGCACATACATTATTTAATGTATGACAAAAACTTCAAACCAAAGAGACATGTAACTACATTATAATGTTTGACTCCTTTCCTTTCTTTCATTCTGTTGTAAAATTTCCTTGCAGCTTAGACTATCTTTAAATTCAGGGTAAGCAACATTAAACAGCACAAAAAGGAATTAAGGATGCAATTAAGACATGAGATAATAAAAGAATACAATATAGCTAAATTTAGTTTACTGCAGTACCACTAATAATTCTAGTTTACTCCATACATTTCTATCCTTAGAAACCATTCATTCATCCATTATGTCCATACGCCAATTAATACATTGCCATTTCTTTTTTAAACTTCTCACTTCCTTTTTCAGGAACACATCAACTTCCTCCAATCATATTTCTTCATCTTCTTTTCCCTCTTATTGATCTCTTCATTCTTCCTTCATACATTTGTTTTGAAATGCACCTCAATGTACTTCTTTTGTACTAGTAACTCACTTTTGTATTCAATGAACGTTCATTCAGCACCACTAGAGCACTCTACTTGCTCTAGTGTAGCTTATAATTGTTCACTCCATTTTCTTTATTATCAAAACTATCTTGATTTGAAAATATTAATTATTATATCCATAATCCCCATACAGTCTATCATTCAATCACACTAGCATTCACTACAAATAAGTTTGTGTTCTCAGGTAAATAATGTGACATCAACTGCATACAAAGAATATGTACATTTATGTCCCCAAACAACACAGCTCTAATAGTACCACAAGGATTCCTCATAAATTTGTCTATCCACACATCCTTGCCCTGTTCCACTGAATCATTTGCTAAGTATTCCACTTACTGTTATGCAGGTTTTATGCCTATCATATACCACTCTTATAATATTCCACAACCAATTTCCATACCATGTTTGTACATAACATTACATAATTCAATTCTATTCATTTTATGATGTACTTTCTCTAAATCAGCAGTTGTGTTATAAACCTTTTCTCACATTTGTAGATTTCTCAGTGACTTACTAAAGAGTGAAAAAATCTAATCTAGACACTCACTGTCTGTCACAAAGCAACACTGTACTTCCCAAATAATGCTTCTTTCCTATGTTTTCAATCACAATTCTGCCAAATAGCTTCCTAGGTACATTTAACCTATTTCTTTGTTGTTTTGGTGTTCATTCTTCCTATCTTTTCCCTTGTATAATTGGATAACAGCATTCTTCAATCATCATGCACAGATGCATTCTTCATAAACACATTAAACAAACTGACAGCTACTCTGTAAGCAAGCCACACCTATAGTTCAACATCCAGGTTATACTATCAATATCAACAGCATGTAATTTATTTTTACCTAGTTTAGGTAGTGTTCTATGAAAGAAGGATAGTAAAGACACATCATTGTGGGCCAAAGTCAAACACAGTGAAGCTTTTGTAAACAAACTGTTTAACTCAGTTCTAAGATGCATTCAGACCCAATCATTAATAAACTACATAAATTGTTGTCCTGTATTATACAGTATCATAAACCAAACCATGGTCCTATTTATATGCATAATCAGTCACCTCAGTGACCTTAGAATTATGTGCCAGTAAAAAGCATTCAGTCACTTGAATATCCTGGATCATTCTGTGATAATCTTTCCGCATATAACCTCTGCATATATGCATATCCTTATTCTGTACTTCATATATTAGAGTGAATGACATCCCAATGTGGGAAATTGATTGCAATGCAGTTCTGAATAGAAGTTTCCTGCATTTTTTTTACCACTCTGTAACGAAACATTAATATACAGCAAATAGCTTCAGATAATTATTATGTGTCTTATTAACCAAAGCATATTATCAACATGACAAGCATAGTGCAGATGCAAAGTACAATTAACACATCCAGAGGTTGGAACAGCTGTAAAAATGAATTTAACAAATGCATGTGAAAGAAAGCATGAAAAAAAAATTCTAATAACCAAACATTTAATATAGTTTGGATGTAGCTACAAGCTAATGGCATGACGACTGCACATACAGTATTAGTTCGAACCCCAAGTGTGGGTCATCCTTTCCTTTGTGTTCCTTAGCAACCCAATGCACTGAATGAAAGTGATGGCCAAAGCCGAGGACACCAGCACACACACCACTTGAAGGTAAAGTTACAGACAGGTGTATAGGCAAAATAGTAGCATGATAAAGAAGCAGGATCATCATTTCCATGTCTAATTCAGTATAAGTGTAAAACACATCACAGCTGACCAAGCATTAATGTATGTTACAAACTGGTGGTAGGGTTGCTTAAAAAAAAAAAAAAGACTTCTGTTCAGTGCTGTGTTCCATGATCTTTGTTCAATTGATAGACTTCGGAATTAAATGGACAGAGTCTTATGACATCTTTAAGTCTAGCACATTTACTACAATATCAACTTTTTAGGATTACAGACAATTTCCTTCACTTTGTCAGCATAAAGAACAGAATCTAAAGTCTTCCCTGGATCAGCAGAGCATGTTTCTAGTGAGTAAAGGAGGTCTCCAATTTCTACTCATTTCTGTTGTCTAGCTGTATTGCATCCCTTGATGTTCAAAATAAACAGCCCATAGGAACAGCTAGAACAGGGACAGAGATTGCAACATGAAGAAACCTAACTGCATATAATTCTCTGGGTTTTGCACATAAGCTTTAAAACATGCTGGTTGGAGCAGCATTACAACAAGGTAATTAAAAAAAAAAACTCTTGGAAAATATGATTTTTTCCCCCTTGATATTTGTCAAAGCAGGAAAAGAAAACCCTGCCTAATAGTAAATATTAATGACTGTTTTTGTTTTGTTTTTGTTTTGTTTTTTTCCCACAAACTGATAGGTTTTAAATAAAATGGTACGCTTGTTTCTGCTACTGGTTCAAAGGCAGATTTCCATTTGTGGAGCAATCTTCACAACTGAGGCAGAAAAAATAAAGTATGTCTAGAGCAAATAAAGAGTTCCTGATTTCAACAATATAATCTCCTGCTTTGATATTGTTGATAATAATAAAAGGAAATAGAATTTTTGTAGATCAATAAATACAGGAGATCTGAAGTATAAGTTGTGTGGAAGTTCTTTAATCTCATTGTCTGCAGCCAGTGTGACCAGTTAAGGGGGTAGTTCCTTTGTGAATCAGAAAAATGGCAATATTTAATTTTGATTAAAATCCAGCCACATACATAATCTGAATTTTGTTTATTGAATATAATAAACATTGTAAACATTTTCAGTTCAAAATTAAATAAATTAAAAACCCACATAACAACAAGTCTCAATTGCATTCAGCACTTAAGCTAAAGGACATCTATTTGAAATATGTTTGTGTTGGACTTCCGGGGGGAGAAAATGGCAAGCTGATGCACCTCTGATAATCGGAGACAACATAGAGCTGAAGACTGGCATCCGGGTGGTAAGCCCGGAACTGGGGAGCTTCTCTGGATAATGGAGAAGCCAAGAGATCTCTGGAAGGCTGCTCCTCACAAGGAAACCCACAGGATCCAAATGGCAAACCATGGATAGAGCACCAGGAGCTAAAGAAAGAGAATTAAGCTCTTAGCCTCATGCGGAGCCTGCATTAAGGACAATGTGCTCAAATCAAACTCCACTTTCTAAAGCAGGTATAAATATTTTGACAGCTACAGAGATCTTCCATATAGCAGAACAACTAGATCAACTAGATTGCCACTTCAACTTGGAATATAATCAAAGAGAAAAGTAAAGGAATAATCATAAAAGTTTAAAATTAATTGAAAGCAATAAGCTTACTAAGAGTTTGAATTATAAAAATTAAAACAGAAGAATTGATCAGATAATTTTAAAATTGTCCGCTTTAAAGTACTTTGGATTTAATTAAATAAATAATGCATCCCTCCATGGGGATGAGGGCTGTTTAACTTCCTAAGAGGACTGATTGGTTGAACTTTTTATACAAAGAGATAAGGGACAACTGAGAAAGATCATGTGACGGTAGAACACTGAATTAGACCAAAGAGTCAAGGACTAAGAGGATTTTTTTTTTAAGGCTGTTTTTGATGTTTGCTCTTTGAATTACAGATTTAAAGACAGAAATGGCTATAACCAGGAAAGCAGTGAAAGAAGGGAGGAGGAATCATTAACAGAGCAGATAGGGATTGCACCAGAGATTATGCAAAGGATGTTTGAACAGTTGGGGAAAAAATGTTACAGCTTCAGTGACAACCTCAGTTAGTGAATCTGTCAAGAGAGACTTGACTACACTTGAAAGGAGAATGGAAGAGAGGTTTGCAATTTTAGAAGAAAAGATGAACAAAAAATTTAAAGAATCTGTAAAATAAATGTCTGGAGAAGGTAAGGAACAAGTAGAAATTTTAGACACCGAGACAGAAATATTAACCCAAGAGATGGAAAAAGATTTAGATAAGGTGACATTACTGGAGCTAAAAGAAAAGGAATCTTGTTTGAGATGAGAGCAGTTGCAGAACAACCTGGTGAAGATGTCAGAGAGATAGTAGTTGAATCTTCAACAAAAAATTTTGGAGTGGAAAGAAGACAATATGGAGGCAGAAGTGGACAAGATGTACAGAATTAATACAAGATTAAGAAACATACCAAGAGAAATACTTTACACTTTGTCAGGAAGAAAACAAGAGGTCAGGTTTTGCAACAACATTTTAATAAGTTAAGAATTAACAATTCAGATGTAATTTTACTCAAAGAAATATCCATTAGAGTACTGCATAAGTGAAAAGAATATACTATTTTTGACTGACAAGCTTAAACAGAAAAAGATTCCATTTCATTGGGATAAACTGGAAGAATGATTTTAACTTTTAAGCAACAGAGATTTCAACTTAATTCTGTCGAAAAGGTGTATATTCAAAGAAACTTTTAAGGAAGAGGAGATGCAAGGAGGTCAAATGGAGGGAGCTGGCAACCAATTCAGCAGGAACCTGAAGAAAAGACCACTATTGGGTGCTACGGATATAGACTTTTCCAAATTTATAAAATAAATATGGAATTTAATGCACAATTAAAGGAAAGGTTTAATATAGATTAAAAGTTAACAGGAATAGAACATGCAATGGAATTTGAAATGGAATTATGTACAAATGATGAACATATACAGTAATTGCTAAAATATATAAACTGAATGAACTAAACTTGAAATGAAGTTAAAGTTAAAGTACATGATAAAATGGGCTAAGAATTTTGGTTATAATATACAGAAGGATCAGTGAGAAAGAATGTGGTTAAAAGGACTGAAATCCACATTGTCTTATAATTTAAGAGAGCATTCCTATAAAATGATGTACCACTGGTATATGACACCAGAGAAATTATCTAAGTTGTATAAATGTACTTCTAATCATTATTGGAAATGTGGAAGGCATGAAGGCATGGTGGACTTGTCAGAGTGAAAAAAAATGGATACAAATACATATGATGATGCAGAGAATTTTAAAAATTAACATTCCAGTGAAACCAGTTTTTTCTACTAAGAGTTATGGATAGCCAATTAGAAAGGACACATGGAAGACTGGTTTTATCTATGGTAACTGCAGCGAGGCTACTGTATGCGTAAAGGTGGAAAAATACAGAACTACCCACAATGGAGGATTGGACTGTGAAGATGAGAGAATCAGCAGAAATGGCAAAATTGACCTGTTTGATCAGGGATAAAACAATTAAGTACTTTCTTAAAAGATTGGAAAGCCTTTATGGACTTTTTGCTGAAAATAGATAAAAATGACTTAATGATTTCTGGATTTGCTGACTGAAAAGAGTTGAATACGGGAAGAAGTACATTATGTGATACAACCTTGATGAGAGAGAAGTGACAATAAGTATGTTTATAATTGTAAGGAAGATCGGAAGTCACTTTAAATATTTTTTCTCTTCTTCCATCTAATGCACTTTCTCTTTCACTTTTCTCTTTTTCTTAATTCTGTTTTCTAGTTGTTATTTTTTTTAATTGTAATAAAAATTATGATTAAAAAAGAAACATATTTCTGTTTATAGTAAATTCAGCCTGTCTTCACATTAAAAATTGTTAAGTTTGCTTGTTCATTTATATTATAATAACATTTAAATGTATATCATGCTTTTTCCCTGGGAGTGGTATAGATAGGGATCTTTATTCATGTTATTAGCATGACAACCCTATAAGGCTCAAAGAAAATGCATGATCCAACAGTATTCTGTGAGGTGAAGTGGGAATAGTAACTACTACTGGACTAGTTCTTATTGCAGAAGTTTGAGTACACATGTATATGGTAGAACAAAATTAGATTAGTTAGTTGGAGAGAAAAGACAGAAAAAAAGATTGTGAAATGGCATGTGATAAAAAGACTGATAAATTGAAGTTCTAATTCAAAGGAACAGATTTTTCAGCTATTAAAGCTTGAATTCTGTACCCATTTTGCTGGGAGCAAGCCCTTTGACTCAGTAGCACTTCTGAGTATATAAGTCTAAAATAAAGTTAGCTATTTTAAAGCCTGCCTGGCAACTACTCTCCATATATTGTACATTATTCAAGTCTCTCATTGATCATCGCTAATATAAATAGTATTTCTTTTGCTAATATTGCTTCTTTCCAGACTCATCCTTTTTGAAGTCACTTGTTATTTCTTCAGTACTCAATATCAAACAATTACTAATTGTTTGTAATTATAACACTGGATGTTATAACGGTGATGTGTGTTTGCTTTCTTTTTGTTTGTTTTATTTGTTGTTTTTATTTGGTTTTTTTACTTCTTAATCCATAATGAATTTGCCTTTAATCTACCCTGGTTAACTATAGAAATGGATGCTAGTATTGTGGTGGCTTATTCTGCACTCTTTTTTTCTTTATGCTGCTGCATTTTTATGTAGAAGTCTATACTCCTCCCCCCCCCCCAAATGATACTGAAGTCACATAACAATTGTGCAAATATTTTCAGAAGCAAATTCCACTGATGCTAATACAAATTAAGCACAGGTAAGGATTGCAGTTCTGGATATGTAGTATTTTTCAGTAGAAAGAATAAAATTTAGTATACTGTGCATTCACATGTTATTCACAGTGGAGGAAGGAAATTCTTCTTGACTATCTCTTGCACATTTTCAACTGCAAGCATGACTTGTATTTCCTTTTGCCCAATATGATATGACAAT